TTCTGTTGTAAGAATAACAAAGTTGACAGACTGAATTTACTGCTACAGCATAGTCATGTTTGACTTATTAACAGAATTACCCTGATCCCTCACCAAGCACAGAAGGTGTTCCTTGTGCAGAAGACAACAGTTAGGCAAACTTAGAGAGAACTAAGGGTATATCACAGGAAGCAATCTGTGGCAAGGCTTCCAGGAGGCTCCATAAACATCTCTAGAAGCAAGACAGAAAGTCCTTGTTGTCTTCTGGTTTGTTTCTGATGGACAAAATCAGTTTCAGTGACACTGGTACAGGAAAAGGGCTCTATACTTCCATTGATAACCTCAGATTAAAAGCACTTTTTAAAACACATTTTAATCATGTACATCCTCTTAACTATAAAGAACTAGAAATCTAGGTAAAATACACACAAGGTCTTGAGAGGGCAAGATTTTGAAGAAGGTTACCTGGAAATCTCATAGCCAACTCTGTTTTTCCCTTTGACTAATTTTTCCAATTTGAAAACTGTCACAGAGGCTGATAAGTAATGCAGAGAATGGCAGCTGAAAAGCAAAGAAACTAAGAGCTTTCAGGAGTTTCATATCTGAAAAAACAAAAATTGGGGCCAGTACTGTGGCGTAGTGGGCTAAGTCTCTGCCCACAGCTCTGGCATCCTATGTGGGTGCTGGTTCAAATCCTGGCTGCTCCTCTTCTGATATAGCCCTCTGCTTTGGCCTGGGAAAGCACTGGAAAATGGCCCAAGTGCTTGGGCCCCTGCACCCGCATGGGATACCTGGAAGAAGCTCTTGGTTCCTGGCTTCAGATTGGTTCAGCTCTGGCCATTTCAGCCAATTGGGGAGTAAACCAGAGGATGGAAAACCTCTCTCTCTCTCTCTGCCTCTCCTCTCTGTGTAACTGACTTTCAAATTGATAAATAAATCTTTTTTTTTTTTTTAAAGAAGACAGGGTCTAATGGAAGATCCTAACTATAAAACTCTGTCCCACCCACTCTCTCTGTTCTGCTTAAAGATGTGATTGCCAGCTCTGATACCCACTTCAGCCTCCAAGATCCACCATGCAGTCTTCTCCAGAACTGATGCCATGCATGAGTCTCTAAAACTAAACTAAATAAGGATTTCCTCTTTATAAGTTAGCTGCTTCAGGTATGTTGTTACAGTAATGCAAATCTAACCGATTCCCCACTATAGGAGTAACAGACCTGAAATTGACCAGACCAAACAAGAACTGAAATGATCTCAATCCCCTATTAGATTAAGGTACTGTATTCTTAGCCTAGCCTCCTAAAAGAAAGAAAAGTAAATCCTTTATAAAAGTTAAAAAAAAAAAAAGAAGAAAGAAAACCACAGAGAGAGCAAGCCTATAATTAGTTTTCATAAACAAAGAATTCTGTTAAGAATTTCAGCGCATTTCAAAGAATACAAATAATAAAAGATGACAGAAACAAGATCCACAGATGATTCAAATATTGAAGTTATCAGGCATACACATGTCCAAATGGAAATTCAGGAGAGAAGTATAAAGCTATAAATAAGAATCAAATGAAAATTCTAGAACTGAAAAATCACAGTGACTCAATAAACTGAAATTTGATATTCAAATTACATCTATAATAAACACAAAACATTTAGGAATAAATTTAACAAGTATGTGTAGCATCTGCATGCTGAAAATTTGCAGAGAGAAATAAATTGAGATACCATGTTCACACTGGAAAGCTCAATATTTTAAAACTTACCAGTTCTCCTCAGCTTGATAAACATTTTCAACAGAATCTCAGTAAAAACCCTAGTAAGCTCTTAAGAAACCAATTCTAACATTTATATTCAAATGCAAAGGTCACAGAATGATCAAAATAATTTTGAGAAAAAAGGTGCAATGTCTTTCCCTATCTGATTCAATATTTACACTGGTTTTGTAATCAATACAGCCTGGCACTGGCTTAAGATTTATTCATCAATGGAATTGAGGAGAATAGTAATTCAGAAAAGTCAGATGATTTTTCATAAAGGTGTCAAGGTAATTCAATGGAGGAAAGGATAAACTTTTCAACAAATGCTGCTAAAATAAATGAATTCCCAGTTTGAGACTACGAATATCAAAACGTTATTGTAGTACATTAAATGGATCATTGGATAAATGAAATATAGCTTGAATATTAAGAGAATTTTATACTAACTTTATGCTAAAGAACTTGAATATTTGGATTACATATAAAAATTCCTAGAAAAACACATCTTACAAAATACATCTCTTCAAAAGACTCTATTAAGAAAATGACAAGAGCCACAAACTGAGATAAAAATATTCACAAGATAGATCTCTGACAAGTGTTTGCATAATACCAAACCTCTGTAACTCACTAATAAGCAATTCGGTTTAATAATGAGCAAGGGTGGGCTTTGGCAAAGTAATTAAGGTGCCATTTGGATCACCTGCATCTCATATACAAGTGCCTAAATTTGGTCCTAATCTCAATTGCAGCTTCTTGCTAATGTATACCTGGAAAGCAGCAGGTGATGGCTCAAGTACTCCAGGGATGCCATCCATGTGAGAAACCTGGATTGAGCCTTCTGCTCTTGTCTTCCAACTGGTCCAGCCAGGTTGTGGGCATTTGGAGAATGACCTAGAGGAAGAGAGAGCTCTCTACCTTTCAAATAAAACAAATAAATTTAAAAAATAGAAATGGCTAAAGTTTTGAACAGATACTTCATAAAAATGAGGTAACACCGGGCCGGCGCCGCGGCTCACTAGGCTAATCCTCCGCCTTGTGGCGCCAGCACACTGGGTTCTAGTCCTAGTCGGGGCGCCGGATTCTGTCCCCGTTGCCCCTTTTCCAGGCCAGCTCTCTGCTGTGGCCCGGGAGTGCAGTGGAGGATGGCCCAGGTGCTTGGGCCCTGCACCCCAGGGGAGACCAGGATAAGTACCTGGCTCCTGCCATCGGATCAGCGCGGTGCGCCGGCCGCGGCAGCCATTGGAGGGTGAACCAACGGCAAAGGAAGACCTTTCTCTCTCTCACTGTCCACTCTGCCTGAAAAAAAAAAAAAAAAAAAAAGAGGTAACACCATATACTAACTGAATGGCTTAAACTAGTCTACAACACTAGTGTTGGAGTTTGTTAGACGGTCTGCCATCTCTTTAATCTCTAGAGAAGATGTTCAGGATTTAGATGCAGAGACATTAGGGTGTGAGAACATTACAGAATTCTTGGCTTTTGCTCAATTTTTTAAAAAATTTTAGATGTTTATTTTTATCTTTCACCTTCTTGAAAGACAAAGTGACAGTGACTTAAATGCCACTATTCCTATTTCTATTTATATACTACATATGATATTTAAGCAATGGAGAGCTAAGTTAGTGTTACTAATTGAGGCAAATGGAATAATTGCTTACATGTACAGGAAGGATGGTAATGTACAGAAAAATCAAAATAAGCAACTCAATGGGATATAGCCAATATCTAATGAAATAAACTTACTTCCCATTCCACACATGTTGGAGCTTCAAAACTATTTTGGTCAAGCCTTCACATGTCCATCTTTCTAGATCTATTAAAGCTTTCTCTCGAATCTCTTTGACTTGTCTAATTATCTTCCATCATGGTACTCCTCCCTTTTTTCTTGTTATCTTGCCTGCATCTCGCCTTATTCCTGAACAGTCTTTATACGGTAATATTGCCCAGGTTTCCCTCTTGGTTTTATATAAATGTATGCCATGGCATTCCTCAAGCCACAGCAGTTTTCTTTACAAACCTACTATTAAGCCTACTAAAATTTTAGCGAAAAACAGTAAAATGCTCTTACTTTATCTATTCAGGACAATTTAACGCACTTGTATTCCCTGGTACACTGCTATTCGGGTGTTAACTTACTTATTAGCCTTTATTCCTCTCACTCTGGTCTTCACAAGTATTGCTTTTACATAGGCCACAGAAGGCAGAGTTCTGAAGTTCAAGGGTAAGTGTTTACCAAGGCTGAAGAAATCTAGGGAAACTCAGTACCTTGTGCAGGTTACATTTTAGAATCAGGCTAAAATTTTATCAGAGGACACAGATTCAGATTTTATTTTTCTAATATACTTAGTTATTCCCACGCTACATCTAAAAACAAAACAAAGCTAATGCTGACAAGCTACTATGGTCCATCTATTAAAACTGGTTTGCCTGTATTTTGTAAACGTTAAAAAGGAACAGAATTTCCCTTAGGAACACCTTTACACAGATGCCATTCCTGCAGAAGGTGCAATTGTTCATTCTGACAAAATACAACTCATTAAGAGAATGGCTGCTTAAAAAAAAAAAGCCAGAAAACATTTATGTAAATAAAAATGCTTGGAGTTTCACACGAGTGGTCCATTTGTTGCCGGCACCACCCCCACCTTCTCGACACAGAATGCTTCCAGAAACGGACCAGGAAGATGAAGTCGCTTCAGGAAAATTTATGGAGGGAAAGGCTGTATCCAGCCCAACGCTGGGACCGCACCCAGTCTGCATTTGGAGCGCTTAAAACTAAGGGGAAAATACAGCTCCAGTTTTACCTCATAAACCATTAACTTTCCACAAAGATTTCCAGAAACCTGACTCACAGCCAGAAACCCAAACCCGGTGGGCGGGAGGGGGAAAAACACCACCCTATTGCGCCACCATTTCCGTCTCGCCGGACTCACAAACGTGCAAAGATGGTGAAAGACGCACAAGCCGACGGCGTCTACGCCTCCAAATTGCGCAAGCGCACGGCCAGGCCCCACCCCCTCGCGCTCCCGCCAAGCCGAGGCGCGCGCACCGGAAGCCAGTGTGCTGGATGAGCGCGCGCACCGGAAGTCAAAGCCCGCAGGCGCCGCCCGGGGCTTCCGCCCAGAGGCCCGGCGGTCGCCGTTCGGTTCCGGTTGGAGCCCCGCCCTCTCGCGGGAACGCTGCAGAAAGCTTAATATCCGGAACGAGAGCCTGGCGCCGGCGCGCATTTCCGGCAGCGGGCGCGAAGGCGAGGATCCGGTGACGCCTCTTCCCGTCTTCCCAGCGGCGCTGACTCTGGCTCTCGGTGCGGCAGCGCCATCTGGTGCCGAGTCTCGCACGGCTCGCCGAAGGGGCGCGCGCCCTTCTCTCGGAACCTTCCAGAGAAACCGCGGCCCCGGCTTTCTTTTCTCCGCCTTCGAGGCGGGAGGGGCTTGAGTCTCCGCCCCGCCGAGTTCCCGCGCTGGACTTTGTGGGACTCCGAAGCGGAAGCTTCTTGTGTTAGGAGCGAGAGGCACTCCCAAAGCAGGGGAGGTTGTGCTCGTTAGCTTAAGCCCCGGCCCTAATGGTTCTGTTTTACTGTTTGCTTCCCGATGGCTCGGTCCTAGGCCACTCTGACGCGTTCCTGCAGCAATTCCTGTCTGTGGGAGCTGGAGTTCGTTGTTTCTGCTAGTGAGGATGGCTCATTCTTTGTGATTAGATTGGTTCTGCTGCAAAAAGCTTTGGATTCCTTTCACCTGTGTTGTTAAAGTGGCGGTGATGGAACGTGCGGTGCACACGTTAGAGACGTTTAGACAGAGAACTTGGGGGATAATTTGCCTTAAAAAGGGCCAAGGAAATTTGGATTAAGTAGCCTCAGAATGAATCTAGATTTGTTTGGCGTATTTATTTTACATAACTGGTGAAAGGAACTAATCCTACCAAAGTCAGAAAAAACCGAGATAGATATCCCCCTTAATGTCAAATTTATACTTGGAAACCTAGATTTTCCAGGAAGCTTGCATACCTGATAATGATTCTTTGTAATGTTTAATTGGGATGGCGTTTTGAGTATCATGTACTGGGTCAGTGAAATTGAATGACATTCAAGCATTTCTTCTCTAGGATGATTCTCAAGCATGCATCATAATTCCCCAAAAGGTTTATTAAAATACAGATTGCTAGGCCTCAGTGTCAGAATTTGTAACTGGGAAAGAAGGCCTGGAGGTGGAGCAAGAAAATTAGAGCTCTAAGTTCTCAGATGCTACTGATGCTGTTGATGCTAGGACCACAGTGGAAGTTTGTAGAGTTTAGGATTGCGTTGTCAACAGTGTTCTTTGCAGGTAAGAAAAAACTACTTGTGATGCTAAAACTGGACAAATTAGTAGAAATTTTTATCCTATGACTGGAAAGTGATATAATTCAGAATGAGAAAGAGCCTAGATACATGAAAATTGACAAAATAAAGCCAGGTAGTTCATAGCAATGTATTCTGTGTAAGATCATGTGGTAGAGGGTGCTGTGGTACTAGATAAACTAAATACTTCAATTGGTAAGTAATTTCTGTTTATCATATTAGTTGTTAAAAATCAGAAAATAATCCAATAGAAGCAGAAAATGCATTTGATAGAATCCAACATTGCTTCTTGATAAAAATTCTGAACAACTTAGAAGGGATGTACCTCTACACAATGTAGACCATAAATAAAGTCAACAGTCAATGTCATCCTGCATGAGGGAAAAGCTGCAGGCCTTTTTCCAGTACAATCTGGAAGAACAACAAGGAAGCCCACTTTCATCATTTTTAAAATATATATTACTGAAAGTACTAGGCAGAACAATTAGGCAAGAGAATGAAAGGGCATCTCTCTAAATGGGAAAGAAGTGAAATTATGTTGGCAGATAATATGGTCTAATTATATAGAAAACCTCAAAGACTCAATCAAATTAATCAGAACTAGTGTACAAATTTATCACAATTGGCAGACACGAAGTCAACATGAAAGTTGTTAGGGTCGTGTTGTGGGATTGCAGGTTGGACCTCTGCTTACAGTGCTGGTATCCCATTTGGGTGTTGGTTATAGACCCAGCTGCTATACTACCAATCCAACTCCTTCTATTGCTCCTTGGAGAGCAGTAGAGGATGGTCCCACTGCTTGGGCCCCTGTACCCATGTGGAAAACACGAAAGAAAGTCCAGGCTCCTGGCTTTAGCCTGTCCCAGCCCTGGCTTTTGCAGTCATTTGGGGTATGAAACAGCAGATAGAAGATAGGTCTCTCCTCTCTCACTCTGACTTTCAAATAAAAAAATTTTTAAAAAGTCTCATTGTTATATACTAATAGCAAATTATCTGGAAAAGAAATCAAGAAAGTAATACTATTTCAATAGGAGGATAAAACCAACCTAGGAATAGATTTAACCAATGAGGTAAGATTTCTACAATAAAGTTTCTAAGAAATTAATGAAAAAAAAAAAGACATAAAGGAATGGAAAGAATCATGTTCATGGATTAGAAGAATTCATATTGTTAAAGCATGAATACTACCCAAAGTGATTTACAGATTCAATGCAATTTCTATCAAAATATCTGAAATTTTTCTCAGAACTAAGAAAAAATACTAGTAGAATTTGTATAAAACCACAAGAGAACTTGAACAGGTAAAACATTTGCATGAGCAAAAGAACAAAACAAGAGGAATTGCACTACCTGACTTTAAAATGTTTTTTGTAACATTTTAAAGTTACAGAAATTAAAAACTGGTATTTGCATAAAAGCAAACTGGTAGACTATTGGAACAAAATAGAGTGCTGCAAGTAAGCCTACATGGCTATAGCCAATTGATCTTTCCCAAAGGGTATAAGAACATGCATTTGAAAAAGGGTAGTGTTCTTAATTAACGGCTCTGGCAAAATTGGATATACTCCTCAGAAGAATGAAACTAGATGCCTCTCTCATGAAAAATCAACTCAAAATGGATTAAAGACTTAAATGTTGAAACTGCTAGAAGCAGACAAGGAAAACTTCAGGACGTTAGAATAGCAAGAATTTTTTGGATCAGGCCCCAAAACAGAAGAAACAAAAGCACAAATAGACAAATTATGTTTCAACAAAGAATCTTCTACACAGCATAAAAAACAATCAACAGAGTGAAGAGACAACATTCAGAATGGGTGAAAGTATTTGCAAGTTATACCTCTGACAAAGGATAAATAACCAGGATATATAAAAAAATAACAGCCAAAAAAAAAGTAAAAGTAGTTCAGTTAAAAAAAATGGTCTATAGACGTTTCTCAAATGAAGACTTACACATGGCCAACAGATACATTAAAAAATGCTCAATATCACTAATCATCAGAGAAGTGCAAGTCAAAGCCACAGTGAGATCGTCACCTTACTCCAGTTAGCTTCACTGTTATCAAAAAGGCGAAAGATAAAGTGTTGGCTAGAATGTGGGGGAAAGGGAATCATTGCCAACTGTTGGGAGAATGTAAATTAGTATATTGTATAATTACCATATGATTCAACAATCTTGATACTGGTAGATATCCAATAGAAATGAAATCACTATGTAAAGACACATGTGCACTCCTATGTTTATTGCCATACTATAGCCAAAAGATGAAAACAATAACCAAGAAACTAAAACAACCTAAGTATCTGTCAACTGATGAATGGATAAAGAAAATGTAGTACATATGCACAATGAAATACTACTTAGTCATAAACAAGGATGAAATCTTGTCATTTCTCACAACATGGATGGAACTGGTGGTCATTATGTAAGTTAAATCATTCAGGCATAAAAAAACAAGTATCAATATCATGTGGAATAGCAAACAATTGATATCATGGATGTTAAGAGCATAATGGTGTTTACCAAATTCTGGGGAACTTAAGATGTGGGAGGGGGGATGGCAAAGTTCATTTAACAGGTACTAAGATATAGTTAGATAGGAATAAATCCTGATGAACTATTGCACAGTAGTGATTATAGGTAATGATAATGTATTATATTTTTCTCTTAAAAGAATTTTGAATGTTTCCACCATAAAGAAATGTTGAGTGTTTGAGGAAATAGATATGTTTACCCCATTGGACATTATACAATAAGTATTATCAAAATATCACAAGTATGTCAATTTTTATGTGCTAGTTTAAAAAAATTTTAAAGTTAAAAAAAATCAACAAGGAAAAATCAGCACGTGACAAGAATTAAGGGCAAAGTGGTTTCAACAAACATTTAAATTTTAACCCAAGGAAGATGGAAGATATTTTTCAGTCTTTTGTATTTCTTCAGGTTCCCTTATTTTTACTGAATCTTCTACCCACAACTCCACCACACACTCACACACATCTTGCCATTTAAAAATGTACAGAGCATTTTGATATATAAAAAAAGGTCATTTTTAAAAAATTTATTTGAAAGGCAGATTTATTTATTTGATTGAAAGGCAGAATTTACAGAGAGGTAGAGGCAGAGAGAGAGAGAGAAAGAAACAGAGAGAGAGAGAGAGAGAGAGAGAGAGAGAGAGGTCTTCTATCTGCTGTTTCACTCCCCAAATGGCAGCAACGGCTGGAGCTGCGCCAATCTGAAGACAAGAGCCAGGATCTTCTTTTGGGTCTCCCATGCGAGTGCAGGGGCCCAAGCACTTGGGCCAACTTCCACTGCTTTCACAGGCCATAGCAGAGAGCTGAATTTGAAGTGGAACATCCAGGATCAAACTGACACCCATATGGGATGCTGGTGCTGCAGGTGGAAGCTTTACCTGCTACTCCACAGCACCGTCCCCATAGACTTAAGTCTTTATTCTTTTCCCTCTAACATGAATGAACTTTCATTAAAAAAAGTTGAGAATTTTTATAAAACTTTGGTATTTCTGTAAGAAACAGTACCATGTATTTGAATACTAATAACTCATTAGTTATTTAGACTAAGGAAAGAAAATTGCATATTTTGTGTTTCATTTTAGACTCACCTTGTAATAAATTTACCAGTGAAGGAGGAAGGTGTATTGTAAAGCGAAACTCTCCATTAGTAATTCTACTTATTGTATTTTTAGAAACATTATTAAATAACAATTTGTTGACCAAAAATGATGAGTAATTTATAACATTTTACTTATAATTCTTAACTGCATGCATGTTAGTCATTTATCCTGGCTAATTACCAGTAATCATATAAAATTATATTGTAGTTTAATATGTTTTATGAAAATTTTTATTTACTCATCTGAAAGGCAGAGAGACATATTTAGATCTCCCAACTGCTGGTTTACTCCCCAAATGGCTACAACAGCAAGGGCTGAGCCAGGCCAAAACCAGCTACTGAGAACTCAATCCAGGTCTCCCATATGGACAGTGAGGACCTAACGACTTGAGACATCACCTTCTGCCTCCCAAGGTGCACATTAGTAGAAGACTGGAATCAGGAGTGGAACTGGGACTAGAGCTCAGGCACTATAGCATCTGAACCATTACAACGGCCACCTGCCCCTGTAGTTTACTTTCCACCAAGGATTGAGGAGTTTGACATAGTAATTAGAGTAGGACTCCAGTGTCAGATTTGCTTTCTAAACTAATTTCTATTATTAATTACTTTGGAGTCCTACTTTATGGTTTTTTGATCTTATTTTCTAAGAATAGGCATGTAAATGAATATTTAATGAATGAATGTGAAAAGAAGAAATTCTCTAAGTAGAAATAAGAAATAGGTTGACATAGCTGTTACAGGTGTCCTAACAAAGATTAATACATTTTTTAAAAGTTTATTTATTTGACTGGGAGAGAGAAAAAGAGGAGGTGAGAGATTGATCTTCTGCTCACTAATTTACTCACCAAATGACCACAACAGCCGGGGCTGGGCCAGGCCAAAGCCAGGAGCATGGAAGTCCCTGCAGGTCTCTTATGTGAGTGGGAAGGGCCCAAGTGTTTGGGCCGTCATCTGCTGCCTTCCCTGGCACATTAACAGGGAGCTGTATGAGAAGTGGAGCAGCTTGGACTCCAACAGGTGCTTTGAAAGGCTAGGTCACAAATGGTAGCTTAACCTGCTGTGCCACAATACCTAGTTCCTAGATAACTTTTTTAAAAACAGTATTATGTTTACTACAGTCAGTGGGCTTGCTAATATTTTTAATTTTAGCCAAATAATACCTGTTTATATTTGGACTCAGTATTTGACCAATTTTTCAATTCTTTGTACGTTGGTAAATATATCATCTCATCGATCACTGCCAGTGGTATCTTTTTAGCTTTCACCCTGCTTTATATTAGTATTTGAGCTAACAATCGACAGACTTTCTAATCTTTTGGCTTAAAAAAAGTATTTATCTGAAAGGTAGTGAG